CACAAGTTACATGGACATCACCAGATGGACAATACCAAAATCAGATTGATTATGTTCTCTGCAGCCAAAGATGGAGAAGCTCCATACATTCAGAAACAACAACACCTGGAGCTGATTATGGCTTTGATCATCAACTTCTTATAGCAAAATTGAAGCTTAAACTGAAGAAAAATAGAAAAAACCACTCGGCTACTCAAAATGCAAGGGACATAGGGAAATTTACAGAAAACTGAATGCTGACTTCCAAAGAATAGCAAGGAGAGACAAGAGGGACTTCTTAAATGAACAGTGCAAAGAAATAGAGGAAAATACAGTAATAGAAAGGGAAAAACCAGATATCTGTTCAAGAAAATTGGAGATGTTAAAGGAAACGTTTTGGAAGGATGGATGTGATAAAGGACAAAAATGGTAGGGACCTAACAGAAACAGAAGACATCAAGAAGAGGTGGCAAGAATACACAGAGGAATTATACCAGAAAAATCTGGATGTCCCGGACAACCCAGATAGTGTGGTTGATGAACTTGAGCTAGAGATCCTGGAGAGCACAGTCAAGTGGGCCTTAGAAAGCATGGCTAAAAACAATGTCAGTGGAGGTGATGGCATTCTATCAGTCTACATCCTAATCCCAAAGAAGGGCAGTGCCAAAGAATGCTACAACTACCATACAATTGCACTAATTTCACACGCTAGCAAGGTTATGCTCAAAATCCTGCAAGGTAGGCTTCAGCAGTATGTAGACCGAGAACTCCCAGAAGTACAAGCTGGATTTCGAAGGGGCAGAGGAACTCGAGACCAAATTGCTAACATGCACTGGATTATGGAGAAAGCCAGAGAGTTCCAGAAAAACATCTACTTCTACTTCATTGACTATGCAAAAGCCTTTGACTGTGTGGGCCACAACAAATTATGGCAAGTTCTTAAAGAAATGAGAGTGCCTGACCACCTTGTCTATCTCCTGAGAAATCTCGATGTCGGACAGGAAGCAACAGAACTGGATATGGAACAACTGCTTGATTCTAAATTGGGAAAGGAGTACGACAAGGCTGTATATTGTCCCCTGGCTTATTTAACTTATATACAGAATACATCATGTGAAAGGCAGGACTGGATGAATCCCAAGCTGGAATTAAGATTGCTGGAAGAAATATCAACAACCTCAGATATTTATTTATTTATTTATTTATACTCTGCCTATCTGTTCGTCGCAAACACTCTAGGCAGCTTGCAACATAACAAATAAAACAAGCATATACAGTACATAACATAATTAGCATAATTAGAAAAAAAAAGAAAAATTTTCTCCAAGATGGCAAGAGAACAAGATAAATTATAACAGATAAGAAGAGAAGAAAAATTAAGAATTAACTGGGAGGGGGGAAGGCCTGCCTAAACATCCATGTTTTCAGTTGTTT